AAAAAAAAAAGAAACTCAGGCTATCGAATCTACGAGTGAATTATCGTTCATCGAGCGAATAAACATTAAGAGTATATATTACAAGTCTCTGTTTACCAAGCAGGCTATAACAGAGCTCTTTGGATGCTAATAGAACCGATCTGCTCCACGTTCGTGAGCGTTCCAGAGACAAAATACGTTGCTGACCCTTCGCCGTTCGTTCGTGTTCCGTGACAGGAACTATATAAAAAAAAAAAGGCCAGCGGTCATATTAAATGATAGTAATCGTGGATGAAACGGTGATGAGTGGAACCTCCGCGCGAGCGCGTTTCGGCGAACGTTGAACGTACTTGAGGCCGCGGCAAGGAAAAAGGAAGGCGAGCGGCCCAAGAAAAATGCAAGCAGATCGACGAAGCTCAAAATGACAGGGAGAAAGAGAGAGGCAGATGAAGCACAGAGGTGAAACGGAGGGAAGAGACTTCGAACCAGAGAAAGAGAGAAAGAGAAAGAGGACTGTGGGTGGCCGACAGGAGACGCAAAGCGAGCAAGGTATATTGAGATAAAGTGGGGGATGAGAAGGTTGGAAGGGGGAAAACTCGGATGGAAGGGGAAGTTATGGTTGCGGACAGGGGCGAGGGAGGAACGATAATGAAAATGCGCGACGGAGATGTAGGCAAGAAGCGACAACAGTTGAAGAGAGAAAGGTAAAGAGGAGCGAGCAAGGACACGAGGAATGTAGAGGAGGACGGTAACGAGAGAAAACAAGAGGGATAAACGAGTGAAATAAACGAGGGGCGGGAAGCGGGGTGAATAGGTATGAAAAAAAAAAGATGATCGAGTTCGAAAGAGAGAAAAAGAGCGTAACGCGCTGAAACGAGCAAAGTTCTTCAGCGGGGAGGGAGAGAACGAGAGAGAACGGTAAAAGTCAGAAATGGGGATAGAGACGGAGAACAGGTATGATCGAGCGGGAACAAGAAGGATAGAGAAGAGTAGGAGAAAGAGTAAGAGAGAGAGAGAGAGAGAGAGAGAGAGGTGGAACGGAGAATCGGAAGGGAGACAGAAACAGCAGCGCGAGATCGACGTAAGAACGTAGGAAGGAACGAGAGGCTCCCGTGTCGTTGGCGCTTGCATTGCTTTTCGAAGCTCGCGCGCGAACGGTCCCCGGCTCTTGTCGTGCCTGTACGTGCGCGCCGATCAATAAACACACGTGAAAATCCAGTCGGTTCTCGTTCACAGCCGACGCTGTATCGGCTGATACGGTTGGAGCCAATTCCATCCAAGTCATTGATTTGTGAAGGAACATTTTCGCTTGTCGTTGCGTTTCGCAGATTCGTTGACTCGATCGTCGTTTCCGCAAACGAGGAGGAGGAGGAGGAGGAAGAAGAAGAACCGTGGTACACGTGATTGTAATCGCGCCGGAACTCACCGGCTCACGAAGAGACAGTCGCGGCTGCTACAAGATCTATCGGCTACGTCGACCCGTCTCGACGAACTCCGGCGCAACGGTTCGCAGTTTCGAAGAATGATTGCACGTCTTTGAGGTCAAGGAGAATAACGGAGAGAAAGGTAGAGTGCAAGTAAATACGTACACCGAGGCAAGGAAAGCCGAAGCGGAAGGATCTGCGCAGGGTCACGAGTCACGAAGAAAGGTATCCGTGCATCGCGAGTGCGATTTTCACATTGTATATATACTTGAACGCGTTTCCGTGTTTTCTCCTCTAATCGTGTATTTAACGGCACATGTCTCTCGTGTCTCTTATGTCATACTGTTTTCTACTTTGCAACATTATCCTACTTGCTCTCCGATTAACAATATATCTCGCCAACAATTTTATTTCAGACTTTTCGTTATCTGTTGTCCTTTCGATCTGTCGTCCTTTCTATCATCGTCAGTCTAATTTTTTGAAAGAATGTTCGATGATTCGATACGGATAAAGTAGTAACGCATATTCGTGAATAGATGCACTTTGAGTTCATTCGGAGTCAAGTCATACATTTGATGCTTAATCGTACTAGTAATCAAAACGATGACATCAGACTCGCTCACGAGCCAAAATAAACGTTGCTAATCAAGCACCGAGGAAACGCAGAATCGCCTCTTCTACGTCTCTCTCTCACTCTCTCTCTCTCTCTCTCTCTAGTCTAATCTCAAAGTGTACGCGATCGATTTATTCGAGTAGACCAACAGTCGTTCCAAACAGTCGTGTCTGTGCTTTATGCGTTTCTAGTGGCGGATTACGCGTCGTTTCGAGACATTGTTGCTAAATACCGGGAATCTTGCAACGCCAGTTGTATAAATAAAGCGATAAATCTAAAACGACGACAACGCGAAGACGGCGCACAATCGTTTGAGCTGTCTTTAAGACCGTGTCATATGAAACTTACGCAGAGACGGACATTCCAAGCGCGAACACCGTGGCTGAAACGCGAGAATCCACGCGAGTCGTGAAAATAATAGAGACATGGACGTTTACTATCGTTTCATTATGTTAATCCCATCGAGGAACACCTATTATATCCTGCTATTCGTGTAGTTAGCAGGTAGAAAAAAATTCAAATACCTGGCATTCCTCGCTACTACAGGCAAACGAAACCCCCGTATCTCCTTATATTCTATCATCGTTATGTTATTTAAGCGACAGCCCGCGATATGAATAATTCATGATACTAATTAGTCGAGGTTCGACCTATCAAGGTGTCCGCTGTTGACGATTATCATTACTCGAGCCCTCTGTTCGCCACTAGCCTGATCTCGATAATCGTAAATACCTCCATGATAAATGCAAAAAGTTTAGCCAGCGAACGAGAATTAACTGTAAATTGACACGTATTTAAGGTCATCATCAAGTATTCTTCCTGTGCTTGCTGAAGTACGTTGAAATTTTAATGCCTGATAACATTAGCGTTCTAGCGGTCCCCTTCTTTGCATCTTAAAATTTATTAAAATTCCAGTATGTGCTTCACGATACTAGAAATTTCTCACATGGTAAAGAATAGTATCAGGGACCCGTCCCGTTGGTCTTGGGTCTACTACCAGAACCAATAAATGTATAAAAGTAATGTAAAGTAATTGCGAATAATACTTTATGGGACTGACTGGCCCAACAGTGTATCTAGGCCAAAAATGACCTATTTTCTCAATCACGTGATCGAAAAGGACACAAAGACAGTCGGCCTTATAAAAGGCATACAAGGAGCCTTAATTTTCCTTTGGTACTCACATTCCCGCGTGAGTATCCCCAAAATAGTATCCAAAGTTTCTCAAAGTACGCTGAGAAAATGCTAACAACCAGTTGGTTTTTTCCATCGTCAATTCCTGTTTATTAACACGGTGACGAAATCGAATTGAAAAAAAAAAAACAGCACCGAGCTTTCGAATGGTATACATTACAATCAGTTATATGTTATTATTCCCAACGCGTGTATAAAGCCTCATATTCACGATTAGAATCTGCATAAGTATTTCGTGCAAAGAAATTTCCTCGTAAATCGAATTTACCATGTCATCCATTCGGTACAGGGCGGAGAATAGCCATTCGCTTATTTATTATTTTGAGCACATCCCGTTAAGTATCGTATGTTTAAGTTCCTCCTAAATAGTTACTAAAGCGATAACTTTTTTAAATATGGAATATTTGACGATGTTTTGTAACCGATTGTTAAATACAGATTGTATCGTCCTCAATCGAGTCAAAGAAAGACACCGTGTATATTAATAAAGCTCAGAGAGAAGTTTCGTTCGTTGTTCGATCGGCGAAACCGATGTCCGTGTAATCAAATTCGGTATGCTGTCGAGGAATTGATTCCGATCAGCCGAACGACAGAAAATATGAGAACACGAGCTGCGAGTTGGCTGTATCGAGCCGCTCGTACCGAGGAATGTACCTGCCGGCGTCGAGTTAACGATTGATCCATTCGCGTGAACCGTTTGTGTACACTCGCGAAGAAACATCATCGGGAACAAAGTTATTACAGTCAGCGTCGAATACGGTATTCCACGTGTTTGAAGTCTGAGTCCTTGATCAAAGTTTTGCATTTTTATCTCTTTTATCCTCTTTATCAATTTCGTCGTAAGATTCGCAATTGATAAAAGTAATTTCCTCGTTCCACGAAACGATGTCACGGAATTGTATTTTTTTAATTAATTTATCAATTTCTATCTAAGTACTTTGTACACACGGGAAAGTTTGTTTAACCTAATAAAGACATCAATTCTAGAATTTTAGATTTCTAAAAGTTTATAATATTTTTAAATGAAATCTCCAAACTCGTCTCCACTCTCGAGTATGTAAAACATTTCACGCTGATAGACACTGTCATCCTATTCTCAAAAATACTCCGTTATAAAACCAAAAATGTTGAATAAATATTTCCCAATTTATTCAAACTTTCAATTGCAAATCTGCCACGTTCATTTATCACGAGTGCAAGAACGATTTCGCGAAACGATCGAGAATCATCGTGGTCGCTGTTCGTCAGACTGAACTGACGTCCCCGAGGTACAAACAGAAACGGATAACGTAGTACATACAAACTGGAACGCGTTGTAAATCTTTTCCAGCCTCTGCACGTCGCGTATTGTGATACGCCGATTAAGAAAGATTGCAAGAGGATAATGTATCTCGGTTCGATTCTCGTAAAGGAACGTAGTGCACAGGTCATATCGGCGTGTGTGATATTACGTTTATTACTGCGATACACTGCGGAGAGGACCGGAGTGGCGCCAACCAGCCGGTCTCCACTCATGTATCTATAATACACACGCGTTTCTGTAGAACCCTAAGTACTAAGGCCCTCGTATTCGCATGGTCGCTTGGTCACATATCTACCTTCGCTCTACACGCGTTTCATTTCCATTCGAGGAATATATTCGACAAAGATCCGTAGACCTGGTAGTCCTGGTGTATCTCGTACACGCCAACAGATTAGACCAGCGAATCGAATATTTATAGCAGAACGTTCTCATGATCGCACGCGCGCCGTCCGACGATGTATATACAGAGGATAGGGGAACACAGTGTCTGTGTACATTGTTGCGTTTCGATA